CTTCCATCATCCTATAACATGTTATATACAAGTTACAGTTTATTCCTAAATTGATGTGTACACACAAACGTAAGCAATTATATTGTCAGTATTCCAGTAGACCATAATTAGCAGCTCACATTAGTAACACCCTGAGTTCTCTCTCATTCTGGATCTGTAATTAGTATAATTAAGATAATATTTCAATTACAAGGGTTGCATCTCTTATCCAACATAATGGGAGACTGAGTACATTTTAGAGTGGTTGTCCATTTAAAAGCACTCAGATTAATCCATTTAGTCAGGATTCCCTGCCCCCATTTCACCAATGGCCTAACATGTCATGGAAGGTATGGCTGCTATGGATTTTAGCCTTGCAAGAATTCTCTTTCTTCTCAATATTAGTTAATCTGGAGCAAAAGGCTATTGGATAGGAAATGGTCATAGTTACCAGTGTTATGGTCTGATCCTGCCAGCTGCAAAATATCCTCAATGCTAATCAACTAAAGGGAACTGAGGGCCCTCAGCACTGTACAGCTGCAGCTCTTCCCTCTTGAGTTTCTATTCTGGTGTGCCTTCTTATTTTCAGAGAGCAGCTGGTAACAATGTACAGGTTTGGCTCCTCTCTTCCATTTTTGCTTTGTTTCCTGTCCCCCACATTTTTGCTAAGCAATGCAGCATGACTGCGGATTTGTTTTTTTCTCCTCCAATCAACAAGAGTATTATTTCTACTCTCTCTTACTTCCCGTCATATAAGGATACAAGTATTTTCATTTGAAGTGTGTCACAAATAACTAGCCCCTCCAAAAAAGGGAGCAGGGCCTAGTGCACCTGGGACTGATTATGTGCTGCCCAGTAGCCTTAAGGGAAGGCATCTGGGCTTTATAAAGGAGGAGACAGCTACAGGCAGGTTTTTTGGTTGATGCTTGTGGTTGCTGTAGAAAGTAAAAAGGCTCTGGGAGGACCCTCAGTCAGGGCAACAAGGCCTGTAGAGAAGGCCAGACATCAGACAAGAAGTGATAGGAAAGCAGGAAGACAGGCCCTTAGGGAGGTGGGGTTGGGCCAACTGAAAGTATGGAGATGACATGTAGACTTGAGTTATTTCTTGAAAATGTTTGCACAGATATTAATAAATTGGATCCCCGGAGAGAGAATGTTTAATATCTGGAGTGTGGGGGACTTAAGGGGCCCTAAATAAAGGGGAAACTAAGGCAGGCCTCAGCAGAGGCACTCTGGTTATCAGGGTACAGTACAAGGTAGGTATGATCTCTGACAGTTTCATTTTTAGGAAGGGGAAAGAATTTCTATGAAGCACACCAAAGTTGGCCAAAAGCATACTGAAAAAATTATGCACAAGAAATGTTACTAGTACAATGGTGAACAAACATAGCAGTTAGCAGTGGAAGTATCGAGCCGTCAAGGTAAAATATACACCATGTAAAGAAATGAACTTTAACTGTAGGCTAGTTTGCAGTGAAAACCTCTAATGAATAAATCAGAATTACTACTCTCAGTATATACAATAAAAAAATTATTTCAAGTATTGCCTTTTGAGGTGCATTGTGCTTATTTCTAAAAAAACAGTTCTTCAATTTGCTTTCTAATGAAAGGTGGTGTCAAGAGATTGTAAGCTTCAAACATCAGAGATTACACATCATGCTGAACTTTAGGGTATATTGTCATCTCTATGCATGGGGTGTTGTTCATGTGCATGAATCCCTAGGCAGCAAATAAGAATTCATTCTCAAATCTAAGTTTCAAATATGACTCAGAATTCAGCTCAGATATTCTTTGCAATTTCATTACCATTCAGCCCAGCCACTGGGCTTAAACTGATTTTTAGGGAATGTTTTGTTTTTACTAACATCTTTAGCATAAAAATACATCCTTACAGTTCAAATATACCTCTCAAGAAGCAAAGCAGCACTAGTGGTGATGGACTAGGGGGTGCTCAAATGCAAGTACCTGAAGTCACCATGGTTTCGGAAAGCCTACTTCCTCCTCAGGACAGGCCTAGCCATTTTGTATAACCTCACTGTAATATCTGTGAACAAATAAGACAAGCAGCAAAATATATATATGGAACTTCTGAGGAAATGTACCATTCCTTTAGCAGCTATTTAATTAGAGGAGGTTACCCTAAACCAATTAAATCTGTTTCTTGCACAGATTTGATACTTTTTTCCAGCAAGGGTAATACAGCCACTATGCTGCTGAGCAGAAAGAACGACCATCCTACAGTCCATACCTTTGATAATTTAGGGCCTTGGCTATACTTGCATGTTACAGCGTTGTAAAGTCTCCCCCAGCGCTGTAACTCACTCCCCGTCCACACTGGCTGGGCACTTACAGTGCTGTATCTCCCTGGGTACACCGCTGCAAGTACTCCACATCTCCGAGAGGAATAACAGCTGCAGCGGAGTGGCTACGACTCACAGGGGTGAGTGTAAATGCTTGCAGCTCTGTACTAATCACCTTGTCAAGTGGCCAATCCTCTCCATTGTTGTGAATGGAGAAGTGCCAGTTTCAAAGCTCATACCAAAGAGAAAAGCAAACAGTTTGCAGCTGGCTTTGAGTGAGTAAATGAACAAGCAGGGGGCCGGAAGTTCGGAACTTGCAAAATAGAGAGCTGACATGCTCCAAAAAGCACTCTCTCTCCCCCCACACTCCCGGTCACAATCCACCCCACCGTTTTGAAAAGCACGTTGCAGCCACATGAATGCTGGGATAGCTGCCCATAATGCACTATTCCCAACACAGCTGCAAATGTTGCAAGTGTGGCCACACCACTGCGCTGGCAGCTGTCAGTGTGGACAGACTGCAGCACTTTTCCCTACTCAGCTGTACGAAGACAGGTTTACCTCACAGCACTGTACAGCTGCAAGTGTAGCCAAGGCCTAGCAGTGGCAGGCTACTGTATACCACTGACAAGCAGTTAGCTTAGGGCTTGGCTACACTTACATTTTATAGCGCTCTGACTTGCTGGCTCAGGGGGGTGAAAAATCACCCCCCTGAGCACAGCAAGTCAGAGCGCTTTAAAGCGCCAGTGTAAACAGGCTCCGAGCACTGGGAGCCGCGCTTGGAGCTAATCCCTTCTTGGAGGTGGAATACCAGGAGTGCTGGGAGACCTCTCTCCCAGCGCTCGCGCACGCGACCACATTTGCACTTCAAAGTGCTGCCGTGGGAGCGCTTCCGTGACAGCGCTTTGAAGTTTCCAGTGTAGCCATGCCCTTAGTTGTCTTTCTGGCAACAGGTATGCAGTACTAGAGCATTAAAACCTGATCTCAGATTTTGAGGTTTGGGAAGAATGTGGCTAGCTATTTGATAATGATTATATACTTAAGGGCTTATTAAATGGGAGGGGAAGTGGGGTTAATCTCAAACTTCTGGTTTTTCATTTTCTGAAACTATCTCTGAGGTGTGGGCTAGTGGCACCTACCTCCTATTTAGGCCTTTGAATATCTTCCCCAAAGGAGAAACTGAGTTTCAAATATTTTGTTTTTAATTCCATCCCCTCTGTCTATATAGTCTATTAATATTTTTGTATATTATACTGTTTATATTTACAATTTTAATCCTGTTCCACTGATTTTTTAGACACAAGAATAGGTAGCACCTAGGGTAACCAGATGTCCCGATTTTATAGGGACAGTCCTGATTTTTGGGTCTTTTTCTTATATAGGCTCCTATTCCTCCCACCCTCAGTCCCAATTTTTCACACTTGCTGTCCGGTCACCCTAGTAGCACCCCACTATACCTAAATATTAGGTGTATGTAGTGCTCTGCAAGTACAATAGGGCAGATGTAGCTAATGAAAGACTACACTTTATTTACACAAATACTTTACAACAATATGGACAGGAACTATATAGGGAAATGAGTGGGTCACTAGCTCAGTGTTCTTACATATTAGGAGGTAGGCAGACTAGTGCAAGAGGGAACAAAGAATGCAGGTATAGAGGGGTTAACAAAAACTGCATGGTTCTGGGTATATGCTCACTACTGGGGATAAAACCGGGGTAGCTTCTTGAAACCAGTCTTTCCTCCCTGATCCCACGTTTGTCTCCCAATACATCTGGCTACATAAATACCTCACGGATATAGGGATGCAGGCTCAGAAATTTGCTCCCATATCTAACTATGGCATATCATAAAGTCAAACTCAACTGCTTATTTGGAACTTCTCAAGCTGTTCTCTGCATTTCTGTCAAATACTATAAGCATGCCCATTTGCACAAGCAGTTCAAATCTGTACCTGACAAGTGTTCTGCCCCAACATTTAAGCTTTCCGTTAGTGCTTCAGTCATAGTCTTTTGTAAGCAGTAAATGTAAAGAGTTGCTAATCTTTACTAAGTATTTGCCAAATGCTGGGGACGCTGTGCAGGAATTTTAGTCAGGATTCACAGCTTGCACAAACAGCCATGCCCAAAATGTGTCATTCATAAGCTTCCATTATTTTAAAATACCGGATAGACACAACGTAAAATACTTTCAAGCAAGCTCATTACAAAGAAGGCAGTATGTGAAGTGCGACAGTGATGTGCTACAAGCAGATCGGAATGAAAGCCATCTCCTTGTAACTATTTGTAGTTTACATTGGTCCTCTATTTGCTAACTGGCAGCAATGGCAGAAATGTGAATGAGTTAATTGTCCGTATTTTTATTAGAGTAGCACATTAGAGGTCCCAACTGAAATGAGAATACAATTGTGCCAGGCACTGTATAAATACATAGTAAGAGAGTCATTGTCCTGAAGAGCCTATAATCTAAATCTGGGTGGCCAACCTCAGCCTGAGAAGGAGCCAGAATTTACCAGTGTACATTTCTAAAGAGCCATAGTAATACGTCAGCAACCCCCCATCTGCTCCCCCGCTTCCAGCCCCTCCCACCCACTGGCAGCCCCAATGATCAGCGCCTCCCCCTCCTTCCCCACACCTCCCAAGGGGTGGAGTGGGGATAGGGCATGAGGAAGAGCCAGGGATTGAGCAGTGAGCACCCCCCGGCACATGGGAAAGTTGGCACCTGTAGCTCCAGCCCTGGAGTCGGTGTCTATACAAGGAGACGCATATTAACTTCTGAAGAGCCACATGCAGCTCTGGAGCCACAGGATGGCCACCCCGATCTAAATAGACAAAAACAGAGAAGGGTGGGAGAAAGGAAGTATTATTGCCATTATTTAGATAAGTGATTAAATAAGTTGCACAAAGTAATATAGGAAGTTTGTGACAGAGCATGACACTGAAACCAGTCTAGTGCTGTGACCACAAGACCTTTGTTCTTTTCAATTAAAAATCCCCAAGTGGTGTATATATATATCGTTCAATTGGGATGCTATGTTATCACGGTTCATTCGGATCCATTAATCAAATATTTCCAGTAAACGTCGTCCTACCAGAAAGCATCAAGTTTTGCAGTGATATCAGGTTTCAGAGGCCGATTATTTGACAGGACAGCTCATAGTGACTGGAATGAATTCCAATGTACCCTTTTTGGGAAACAATCAGATAATACCCAGAACTTTTATCATTTGAACTCAAGGTACATTTTAAAGGTGGCTAAGCTTTGTTATGCCCATTTCACAGATAGGGAAACTCAGGCAGAAAAGTTAAGTGATTTGCTTTAAGTTAGTAGTAGAGCTGGGAACAGAACTACAGTTTCCTAACTACCGATCTGAGCATTATCTAATGGACCATACTGTCTGCTACTGACTTAGTTTGAATCCCAAATCCTTTTTTTAAAAATAGGTACAATGCTTTAAAAAAAATCAAGGAGTGTTTAAAACAAACAAATGAACCAAAGACATTGTTCCCAATGGCAAATTCTGTGCTCTTTGTTCCAGGAGCTTGATCCTGTGGAGTGCTGAGAACATGCAATTCTAACTGAAGTCTAACTATTTGTTCACAGATACTGCAGTGACTGGCATCCTACAAAGATGAAAGAGTAGCTAGGAGGCAGCTCAAGTGTGCACAAAAACATCAGGAACTACTACAAAGAAAGACATGGTTTTTAGGAGTGATGCATGCTATTTGTTAAAATACAAATCGATCAGAAACGTAGTGAAAATACAAACCAAATGGCCAAACCAATTTTTTCTCCCTAATACAACATAACACACCATGAGAAAAGCTGTTTCTAGTATTCCAGATTCAGCTCCCCGCAAAAGCACTATCAGAAAACTCACAAGGCAGCCTGTTCTTTCCAATTAACAACTGGATTAGTTCTGCTGATCTCTGAATGAGCATCTAAATGTTCACCCTTCACCAGACATTATAATTCTGCTCCAGTGAAGAAACTCAACCAATTGATACCAGATCATACAAAGAAATTTCCCCTCGGTGTTACCATGTAAATCAAGTTTTATTCCAGGAGGATTCTTTTTCTCCCCTATCGTGGAACTGTGTTAATGGAAATCTTAACACTGCCTAACTAAAGCATTGCAAATACAGTCGGGATGGATGGCAGTAAGGTCTTTCATTACTGAATTAGAGTATTGAGCTGTCTAAATTGATATAAAATGACTAACTTTCTGTTTTACTTTCCAAACCATTTGAAAACTGAAATGAATCCTTTCCCAGTGAGCATTTATCATCCTATTATGTCCACCTGGGGATGTTAATGCTTTCCGACTACTGCCTCTAGCCCTCTCCTCACCTCTAAGTGGGTATTATGTGATGGCAGTGCACATTTCATAAAGATGTATTGCTGATTATATTTCCATTAAAGACTATAGCCAAGTCTGACTTCTCCCAGCAACAGCTTTTTTGCCCTGATGAGATCATTGTGGAGGAAGGGTTTTCTCCCTCCCAGCAATTTGCATAGATGCAAGTCCAGACAGGGTGAAAATTAATTAAGTTTTCCCACAACAATTACAGTGTTGAGATAACCTCTTCAATTTAACCAAATCCTTGTTTATTTCAATTATGCTTTTGTTTCTTTGCAGGGGTAGGACCTCAATTTAGCAAAGCACCTAAATATACTCACATGTTTTAACACTATCCCTTTAAATGAAACACTTAAGCATATGCTTAGCTCTAAGCACGTGCCTTGCTGAATATGAATAGACTTAACCCCATGCTGAAGTACTGTGCTGAGCAGAGCCCAGGTCCGAGAGTAGGGCACTGGGCGTGGGCCCCAGGTACAGTGGCTGGGGACTGGGGCCAGTGGCCCAGACCCGAGCCCCAGGTACAGGGTTGGGGAGCAGAGTGTGGCACGTGGGGCAGCGGCTGGGTAGCAGGGCTAGTGGCCAGGACCCGAGCCCCGGGCGCAGGGCTAGCGGGGCGGACGGCCAGGAGCAGGGCCCCAGGTGCGGAGCCAGGCCCCGGGACCTGAGCCAGGGAGTGGAGCCCTAGGCGTGGGGCCAGCAGCCCTGCATAAAACCTGGGGGTGCTGCAGCACCCCCCACACATCTACTTCCCGTGCCTATGAGTTTGGGGCTAAAGGGTACAACAATGTTCTGGGTCCTGTTTATAGAAACTCAATTCCTTGTTCTCAAATCATAGGCATTTTCTTGGCTTGGCGGGATATTGCCAGAGGTTTATCCCCAGCTTTGCCTCGGTTGTGCTCCTCCTTATGGATGTCATAAAAGGAAACAATCCTAAGAAGATCCATTAGGCTGGGAAGTGCGAGGAATCATAGATGTGTAGGACTGCAAGGGACTGCAACAGGTCATCTAATCCAGGCCCCTGCACTGAAGGCAAGAGTACGTAATAACTGAACCATTCCTGACCATTGTTTGTCTAACCTGTTCTTAAAAACCTCCAGTGATGGTGTGATGTTGTATTATTAAAATATCACATATATCATTGTTGCTACCACTGTTATGTAATTGCAACAAATCTTATATGAAGTATGTCAATGTAAAGTTATGATTTGTTTAATATGATTATCCTATTTGTATGCGTATATCATTTTTGTATCTGAAGTTATGACTATTGACTAGGTACTAGTATTTCAAATGTTGCTCCTGGGGAAATTCCCACCAGATGCTAGACTGTATGTAAACTAAGCACATTGTGAATGGACCATTCAGATTGATGGCTCATTAATGAACACAATGGCCCATAGAAGAAGTATATCTCCTCCCAGCTTCCTGTGGACCTTTTAGCTAGAATATGGGTAATGACTGCTCCTATGAGTTGAAGCATGGAAGGGCCTGTGACTTGCTCATATGACCCTGGACTCCTTCTTGTGCCTGTAATTTTCCACAAACTAAAACTGAGAGCATCCCCTCTACATGGGAGAAGGTATAAAAAAACCTGGAAGCATCTCCATTTTGCCTCGTTCCTGTTCTGATCTCTGGACTATGGACTTAAACTAAAAGGAGCATTCCAACCAATGGACAGAGGCTTCCAATCTTTTGGAAGTTACCAGAGACTTTACAAGCCAGCATTATTCCATTGGTGCTATAGACCTGACCCAAGATCTTTGCAATGAGTGTATGTATTTGTTTTCCTTGACCATTATATAACTCTCTCCTCTTTCTTTTCTCTTATAAATAAATTTTTAGATATTAGATACTACAGGATTGGCAACAGCCTGATTATTGAGTAATATCTGAGTTTTATATTGACCTGGCTATGTGGCTGATTTCTTGGGATTAAAAGAACCCTTTGTTTGATTAAATTGGTTTTAAAGTCATAAAGTCAAGGTGGTGAAATAAGGAGACTGCATTTCTGACTTCTTGTTAACCAGTGTGCTGAAGCAGAAGTTTAGTTTTGTTATTGGCTCAGTACATCTTATGGAAGAATAACACCAGTTTCGGGTGAGTCTACCCTGTTTCTCAGCAGTTTGTCCTGAACCTGGCATCCTCAGCTGTGACCCACTGAGGCAAAGTGACAGATGGAAATTCCACAACCATCTTAAGTAATTTGTTCCAGTGCTTAACTATCCTGCCAGTTAGGAAGTTTTTCCTAATGTCCAACCTGAACCTCCCTTGCTGCAATTTAAGCCCATTGCTGCCTTGTCCTATCCTCAGAGGCTAAGGAGAAGAATTTTTTCACAGTATTCCTTTATATCCATGTTTATGAAGAACTAATTTTGTGTTTCCTATGTTAGAGTTTTAGGGTCTGCTTGCTTCCTGATCTGGACAAGAACTGGCTGAAATATTTGGAAGTACATGAGGCTGAAGCATGCTTACGAGGGGAGAGATATTTTAACAAGCCTTGGAGGGTCAAAATTCATACAAGTTAAGGGTGTTTCTTGCATGACTTACACTGGATACATACAATGTAACTTCTCCAGTTATTTCCTCACATTTGTTCTTGAATAGTAATATGCTTTCACTTATAAATCCATATAACGTGTCTCATAAAAACAGATTTCCTCTCAGAGCTGCTTTACATACTCTTTGCACTTGAAACGTAAACGTTAAGATGAAATATGTGTTTGACCTGCTTTTATAGTCCCCCCACCTCCCAAAAAAGGGTTATAATCTCCTTCACAGTATACTAGTATACTGAGTCATGGAAAGAATAAAGTTGTATTTCATGAAACACAGAGTAAAAGGAGAGTATACAATCCATTAAACTAGAACATGGGGAATTCACTCAGATAGAGGGCTGCAGGGAAATAGTCTGCAGTCACTCCCTGGGAGATGTGTTGGGGCTATAGAGACAACTAGCCTATAGTTCCTCCTTGGAAGGAGGGCGTTTGGGCTAGCAAATCCAAAGCATTGGAAGCCAGAAAGGTAGGAGAGGGTTCAGGGAAAGTCAATAAGGTCCAGGAATGATCAGAGTTTGGCTGCTTATTAATGGGTCTCTGACCTTGAACCTGGAGTAGAAGGTAGGCCTGAGTTTCCCCTGACAATCACTGAGGGAATGACTACCTGAGGCTGCCATTCAGGAAAGCCTTTGATACCCTGGAAAGGGGAAACACACATAGTGACCTGGCCAGAGAGTTACAAAGTTACAAAGAGGCAGCAATGACACCTGGAGCGAGAGTGGGGCTGCAGAGAGAGAGAGAGACAGAGACAGGAGGAGGTGCCATCCAGCTGTGAGTAGAGCACCCCATTACGGGGGTAATGATACTGGTCTTTGTAAAGTGCTTTGAGATCTATAGAAGAGGTAGGTACATTTTACACACACATTTTTGACATAAAGCCTCCAAAACACAGCGCTCTCTGCA